GGAAATAATGTAAGTTATTTATTCTGTCTGTGCGGCCCGCTACCAAATGACCCATGAACCGGTACCGGTCTGTGGCCCGGGGGTTGGGGCCCCTGATGTGGAGTATTCCTGTTTTAGTCTCATTATCGAAGAGCATTACAGACATGTACACACCTTAATCAGTTTTCACTGCATTTTGCGACAGGACACATACCCCACTTTTCGGACCCCATTTTGAGAACGTGGATTATAGATCTTTCATTATAAATTGTTAAACCTTAGAACAATGTTTAAAATGTGTGTCTCTTACCCCACAGATGAGGGTGCTGTGTGTGTTTGCTGTGCTTGCCTCGCTGGCTCTGGCTGCGATGGGAGAGGAAGGAGCTCGCCTGCTCGCCTCCAAGTCGCTGCTGAACCGGTACGCGGTGGAGGGCCGAGACCTCACGCTACAGTACAACATCTACAACGTGGGCACCAGGTACGACTTGAGCCAGTTCACTGCTATCCTTTATACGTTGACAATGATATTGTAGGCTGACATTTCATATGTTAGTTTTGAAAAGAGGAGTATGTTAATGTCTTGGAACCGCCCCCCCCCCCGCCCCTTTTTTCCTCGGGAGTGTACATTCGGTAGCTGTGCTATCCTTAATCTTTACACTTTTACACTGACACTAACACTCTGTAAGCTGATTTATTTAAGTGCCCACACACACATACACAGGCATCATTATATTGATTTTTATATATTACATTTTGCATATAGTCTTCCTACCATTTGTGTGAGTGTTGTTTTATTTATATACTCACTGTCCTCTTTATTGGGAACACTTCCACATTTATGCAGTTATCTATTCAACCAAACGTGGCAGCAGCACTGTGCAAAATATCATGCAGGTACAGGTCGAGCATGTCAATTAAAGTTCAATTCAAAGATAAGAACCATTCTGTGTAAACTCGAGAGTGTTGAGTGTGAAAATCTCAGCACATCAGCAGTTTCTGAAATACTCAAACCAGCCTGGCACCAACACCATGCCCTGGTTAAAGTCACGGAAATCACACTTTTTCCCCATCCTGAAGCTCTTGACCTGTATCTGCATGATTTTTTTTGCATTACGTGACTGCTACATGTTTGGCTGATCAGATAACTGTACAGGTGTTCCTTATAAAGTGGGCAGTGAGTATACATTAGGTTGTCGAAACTTATTTTGTGTCAGGCTTTATTTTTTTTTATTACTGTTAATGTGCTCGTTCTAAGGTCAGCCGATTGTAGAGTGTTAGTGTGTATAGTGTAATTTTCTAAGCAAAAAAAAGTAACCTTAGATTTCTTTATTCACGTTTCTCATTTCTAAGAAGGACGTTATGTTCCATATTCTTTGTGTTTTTAGTGCTGCATTGGAAGTGGAGCTCTCTGATGACTCGTTCCCTCCCGAGGATTTCGGCATCGTCTCTGGGATGCTTAATGTGAAGTGGGATCGCATCGCCCCGTATCCTTTTCACCACAAGTTTAAAGGATTATCAGTTCTTTTGTTGTTGTAGGCATGAGCCGATACACTAAAGCCACGATAAGGGACGCATCCTAATATAGACCTGCGTGAAGTTGGCCCCCCCACCAACGCAAAACTTCAGCAAAATAGTCTCAATTGTTTGTGCTTCGTTTGTGCTGGTTTGTGCTGGTTTGTGCTGCTTCGGTTCAGGAGATATTAAAAGAATATTCAAAGGTCATTCTGGTGTCACCCAGCCCCCCCACATGCTCCAAAGTAACCCAAAATAGTCGTTTGTGCTGGTAAAAGTTTCGTTCGTGCTGCTTTCGTTTTTAATATATTAGGCATTAAGTTCTATGAGATGACATCACCAGCCGCACACATGCTCCAAATTAACCCGAATTAGTCTAAATCGTTTGTGCCGGTTTTTGCCGACTGTCTTTTTTTTTTTTTTTCATTTTAAAAATACAGTTGAAGTAACAAGGTAAAATCCAAACGGCAAATCACATTAAATAGTCGCATTCGCGTAATTGTTACCTATCCACTGTGCGTTTTCAACTTTTGTGGAACACAGCGGATCACAGGATGTGTGAAATGTAACACAAACTCCAAGATAAGTGTTTTTACTTGTTTCTGTATATAAGAATAACAGTCGTAATATTAACATTGTCATAAATAAATACACACACCATAATCTGTTTGCTGTAGCTCTGTTTATACATACATGGGCCGTGTGTGTGTATATATATGTGTATATATATGTGTGTGTGGGTGTGTGTGTATGTATGTATGTATGTGGGGGGGGCTGGGTAACCCCAGAATTACCTATAAATATTCTTTTAATATCTCCTGAACCGAAGCAGCACAAACGAAAATTTTTAAGGCACAAACGATTGAGACTATTTTGCTGACGTTTTGCGTTGGTTGGGGCGCCAACTTCACGCAGGTCTTATATATACTATACAAGACTGTACTGACACAAATTATTACATTTTAATGCATTTATTTTGTAATGATGAATCAAACCACTGCGATATAAATACATTATACTGTAAGGAAAGCAGATCGGGATTAGTAATATAAGTCGTGGGCCAAATTAAATAATGCTTCAGACCTTGTGTTTGACATAATGCTTCCTTCAGTTTACCTCGACATCTTGGACTATTAATCAGTCCATCAGTTAATAAATATAAAACTGAATAATCAGTTTTTTTTTTTTGTTGTTGTTGTTGGATATTAGTTTGTATGTGTTTGATTGCTGCGGCCAAAAATGCTTGAGGCTTTGTTAAAAATTTGCGATGCAACTTGCGGAATTTTTTGTGCTTTTTTTTTTTTTTGGTGGAAAACTACTTGACTAGGCGAAATTGCACAAAATAGTTTTGAGGTTCTCCCTCGCAAACTTTGAGCTTTTTATGCATGTGTAAGTGTATTAAACGGACATGTTGCGTGCAGCAAATTCATCTTCCCGCTATTTTGTATTGCGATATTAACGATAACAATAGTCTCATGCCTACCATGTTGTCATGTTAGAGCTTACTATACAAGTGATTAGTTGTGTTGAGTGGTTCATTTATTTTATTTTGTTGTTATTTTAGCATTTTAATACAAAGCCCTTGAAGAATTCAACTCATTTTCTGTATAATAATAATCTGTATTTAGTCCACCAATAATTGGTCATGTTCCCTGACACGTTCCTTCTCTCAGTGCCAGTAATGTGTCTCATACAGTAGTTCTGCGTCCACTGAAGGCCGGCTACTTCAACTTCACCTCAGCCACCGTCAGCTACTTGGCACAAGAAGGCGGGCAGGTTGTGGTGAGTTTCCTTCTTGAAACTATTTGTGTGTCTTTTTTTTTTATTTTATTTTTATTGCTATGCATTTTAAATGGAAAATGTGATCACAACTCTTGAAAACAGGATATGCTGTAACCGGTTGGGGTTTACCATAGAATATTTTTAGCAGAATAACACTGTGTAGAGTGTGAAAAACTGCTCTCAGCTTATGATTAAGATTTTGGACAAACCCTATGAGTGCTTTTATTATGAGAGGTTCATAACAGCAAATACAGTCCCCTGTAAAAGTATTGGAACAGCAAGTCCAATTCTGTTTTTGCTATACATTGAAGACATTTGGGTTTGAGATCGAAAGATTAACACAGGAGGACAGATCAGAATATCAGATTACTTAGAAACTTACAGAAACGTACAACATGCACCTTTTGTTTGAAGTCCTCCAGGTGATCAAAAATATTGGAACATGCAACTGATGGGCATTTCTTGCTGCCTAGGTGTGCCCTGTTAAATTAATTGATTGAATGAATTAATAGCAATAAATGTCTGCTCTTGGTACGATCTTTCGTCTCCTTTACCTTTTGATCTCAAACCCAAATGTCTTCAGTGTATAGCGAAAACATTAGATTTGGCCTTTGCTGTTCCAATACTTTTTGAGGTGACTGTAAATGTACTTTTGATTTGTATTCACTTTGCTTATAAGCTGTGTCCAAAGGAGCATTATGTAAACATGATATTTATGGAGTAATCGAGATTTGCTCCCTTGTTAGGTTGGTTACACCAGCGCTCCTGGTCAGGGAGGCATTCTGGCCCAGAGGGAGTTTGACAGACGCTTTTCTCCACATTATGTAAGTGTTTAAATTGTATCTCAATCCTCAGAAGAGTTTCCCTTGGTGTCTCAGACGGTCCTCACACTTGAGAGCAATTCCAACAAACATTCAGTCCCCATTTCTCCTTCAAGCCATAGAAATAGCCAATTTAAGCAGCAGTTTTGGATACAGGTGAATACAAGAGTGAGTAACGTAATTCAAAGACTTTTGCATGTAACGGAGATATCATGACTTAATTGAGTAAATCCATTCAAAAGTTCTGCAACTTAAACTGGACTTGGTCCCAGTGTTGATGCCCCAAGTGATATCATCATCGCCTTACTGTTCTAGTAGTTCACTGCAAGAGATCAGTTTCCAGAATGACAGTAAGAGACATGTGCAATATGTTTGTGTGCTTCCATAGCTGGACTGGGCTGCTTTTGGTGTGATGACTCTGCCTTCCATCGGCATCCCGCTGCTCCTCTGGTACTCCAGCAAGAGGAAATATGACTCTCCCAAGACCAAGAAGAACTAATGGAGAAGTGTAGGATTAAGGCATTAAAACGGGGTTAAGGATGGTGTAGGAATGGGTTTTTGAGAGGTTTTCAATAATCTTATTACCCATATTGGGGGTAAATTGACCAATGCTGCAAGTTTGGACAGGTCTAATGGGATGCTCGTATTTCTTTTTCCACCCATGCGGAAGGATCACTGAAGTCATCTTTCCTTCTTCATAATTTATCATAATGGCCATTCCAGGCTGTGAATAACGTTTTGTTTGTTTTTGTTTTTTTGTAATTAAGTGTTTTAAGGGCAAATTTGGTCATTACTGTCTTTATGACTGCTCCGAGATCTACAATGAAAATAAATAAAAGTGGGTTTTTACAAAAAATACAACTGAGATTTGCTGTTTATTATTTGCATAGTGTAATGGTATGATAGGGCAGTGATAGCTCAGAGGTTAAGCTTTTGGACTTCTGATAGGATGGTCATGAGTTCAAACCCCAGAACTGCCAAGCTGCCGCAACTGAGCCCTTGATCAAGGCCGTTAACCCTCAACTGCTCAGATCTACAAATGAGATAAAGAAAATAAATAACAGCTTCACTTTAATGTAAATTGCTGCTAATTGGTGTAATCAATGTGTCACATGTCTGAAGTTGAGTTCCACTGTCTTACAATCACCCTGTGATTCCTTATTTATTGATTGGTGTGGTCAAAATGACGAAACAGGAATGTCTGATCGGATCATGAGATGTTGTAAATGTGACAAACTACTTGTAGCTGTTAATTTCATACCCCTAAAACAAGTCGATGTTTATATAAAATGCTTTATTAATGAATATATAAATCTTATAATCTAACTGACATCAATTTCACTGCATAGTAGATCTAAATCCTCTTTATATTCACTTCGTTTTAAAGGACTGTGGTGAATAAGACTCAAGATGCTGTCGATCTATAAGATTAAAGTTTATGCTGAATATTTATGCAACCAAACATAAGATGCAATGTTAAAGACACCTGTGTCGAAACAAAGAAAATGAACACTAAAATGGCACCAGTTCAGGATAAGGTTAAGCATTACAATGTACAGCACCATATGCATCAAACGAAATGATTCCTGTGTGCTTTCCGTGCCAGTATTGATCTTTTTCAATGTTTCATTTCTATGAGTTCATTTCTATCTTATTCAGTGTAAAACACATGTATTTGCTAGTAGGAAGGGTTAGATGTCAGTGGGAGATGGCCTGGAGTCAGCGTTTGCCATTCAGAGGTGGCAATGGAGGTCTGGATTTGTTCGGTCTTTCTGGAATCTGCTCGTATATGGAGAACTCCGAGTTTTCTGCCAGCGCCTGCTCGGATTGGTAAGGGGGTGTATTCCTCATTGCTGAAGCACCAAAATTCTGTGGAAAATAGTTTTCATGAGAATTCATTAGCATTGTTGGTCAATTTTCTGGAAACCAGTGAGTGTAATCAATTTTTTTGTTGTTGGTATGATGTGATGATAAAATCATACCTGAGTGCTGCTAGGTATAACAGGTCTGCGGACAGATCTTCGGGGCAGTCTAGGACCAGATCCTGTGGAGGACGGCGTAGAAGAAAATGCTGTGCCAGTTGCCAGCTGTGCCGGTATGGGGTTATCTCTGGTCCCTTTAATATTGATCTCTGAGTAGACATGATTGCCAAGGGAATCTGCTGGACACATCACAGACAGATGAGCTCTCAGAAATGAAGTCATCTAGTACTAATATGTCTAGAGTTGTGACACAATCTTGTTTATTATTTAAGGATGATAACCAGTCCACCCAGGCATAATACTTTTATACTGACTTTTATTCTTGAAAACGTTGACAATGAATGCAATCACAGCTTCAGGTTTAATGACATATTATTAAATCGTTAATAATAAACGGTAGTTAAAAAAGCCTTTCTAACACAAACTTATGTTTTAACTCTAAATTATTCCACAGCACTCTTCTGACTGGCCGGAAAGTGTTGGTTTATTTTCTATAACAGCATGGTTCTGAGAATAATGCTGGCTGCAATTCAAATCACAAATCGTTTTAATGCACTCGTTCTGTTATTTCTATAGCAACCGCTCATTCACTTATTCACAGGGCCTTGTATAGTGGACGATCCACACAACCTAAGGCTAATAATAAACATTAAAAAAAAGTTTGTGTGTAATCATTTCCATTGTGAAGCTTTTGAGCATTCAATCTCTAGCTTATCATTTATATCATGGGAAATTTTTCAGGATGGAGTTCTGTTACAGGAAAATGATCAACTTTGCGCTCATCCCTGTTGTTGATTATTTTCCTAAAGAGGCACTCACCATCTTTTTTACACATCAAGTCCAGTTGTGACTGTAGCTTTATGACACTATAACTACATATAGAATATTTGCACTTTCATGTAGTCACCCTTATGCAACAATTGCTGCACTAGTTAATAGTACTTAACTTACTTTAACATGCTTAGCTAGTTTCTAAACCTCACTCAGAAGGGCTGAGGTGCATTATTTTGGGCCACACACTCATGACTGAACTGCCAAATAATTTGAAATTAAACACTTCTTCCTCCTCACCTGCATCCCTTGTGTTTTCTCGGTGCCTCCCCACTGCATAGAAATCTATCTGATCATCACGAGGGCGTGTGTGCAGAGCCTCCTCATAAGTATGCATAGGCTCCAGTTCCCAGTATTTCTGTTCTGCGGCTGCTGCAGCATTGAGGAAAGATTGGGAATCAGAGGCTGCTGATGCACCCAATACATTGGCATCGGTGACCTCGATGGCAGCGGAGGAAGGTCCTGCTGGCCGCTGGGGTTTGTTGACACGTGCATACGGTGCATCCACAGGGTGGTCCACGTCTTCAACACACGTGTCTATGTTGCCAAACACATTCTCTGGTGTGTCATTCTGGAAGAAGGAAAAGAGGTTTTGCATTCTGACTGTCCATCCAGCAAGTAGAAGGAATTTGTAACGTCAGTGATCTTTTGTGTTGTTTCTTTGTGTGCTCTAAAGTGATACCTCAGTTTTTGCTCCTCTATCTGTATTTTCTTGGGCAAGCGGCAGCATGTCAGATACAGTCATGCCCTCGGATAGAGAGCGAGTCTTCCTCAGAACTTTCCTCACCACAGCGTACTGTGCTGACTGCGGGGGAGCATGCACATCGTTTCCTGTGTAGCCTGTTGGAGTATATTCTCTGCTAGCTGGTGGAGTGGTTTCTTTTTCTTCACCTATTTCTGCTTTGTTTCTCTCTTCCAGATTTGCCTTATCTTCACAGATGTCGTTAGTCTAGATGAGGTAGAAAAGGAAGTTGTATGTAAAGGACAAATGCTAAGTTGTGCAAATACTTTAAATAGACAGGGCGGTATACAGTATGCATCACTCTATTGCAATAGATTACCAGCTGTGCAGAACGTCAGTAGCATCTTGTTCAGGATTCAGCTTTATCGGTTCAAGTGACATTTGTAGAAGTGCCAACATTGTAAGAAAATTGTGGCAGGCAGTGAAAAAACAACAACACAATTTTACCACAAAAACCCCATGTAAATCTGTGGACACTGGTCAGGGTTTCAGTGGAAGCAGAGCCTATTTCGGGAACACTGGGTGTGATGTGGCATTACATCCTGCATGGGACACCAGTACATCGCCAGTACATCACCATACACGCACACATTCAGACCAAGAACCAATTTGTCTTAGCCAGATCAGACAGAAAAGCTCTGCAGAGGGTGGTGAAGACTAGTCAGTCCATTACTGGGTCACATTTTCCTGTCATTGTGTACAGCTAGAACGTTTATACTGAATGACTGTAGCATCAGGAAGGATCCCTATCACAGGTACCTAAACAGAACTGCCTGAAGGCAATTTAATTACATATCACTTCACTTTTCTGTATTTAACTATCTGCTAATATTTAACTATCTACTTGTACAAGTCACGTTACATGTTCTACTGGAATCACAATAAAGCCTACTTGACTTGATATATATATATATATATATCTTTCCACTTTTAGGCAAAAAAAAGGAAAGAAAATTTTGGCATGCAGAGGTATAAAGGTTAAAGAAAAGTGGAGGATAGGATAGGTATATTTACATGTGTGAACAGAATCCTACCTGCACATAAGGCACAGTGAGTGTTTCATTAAAAGGCCCAACTGGATTGTGGGTATAGTAGTTTATCAGACCCTCAAGACTGTTATGTCTGCTGTTCTCGCCAGCTATGATGTAGTAACCTTCCGTCCCAGGTTCATCACATTCTTGCTCTATGAGGAAGTGACGGCACTTGTCTGCACCTCTGGAATTGAATAACATTTGAGTGTGCATAATTGTGTGTATGTGTATAGCTGCAAAGGGCATGCTTCCACATGGGTACATACCTATAAGAGAGTACAAAGCCCACCTTCGACTCACTGAGCCTCAACAGGTAACAGCCCTGCTGCTTATCCTGGAGCACTTGCTCTGCTTCTCTGATAAAGACACACAACAATAAAACATCTATGCAGTAGTTTAAAATAGGGCATCTTATATACAAGGTGCTAAATGTGGTTGGATGCCTGCACCTGTAGTAGTTGAGATATTCATGCTTTGAAAGAGCGTGTGTGTTTGAGAGAGTGACAGGAGAGAGAACCTGCGCGTGGCAAAGCCATGGCGCCACAGCAACACGGGTTTTGGGTGCCAAGGCGGCAGCTGCGTTCTCTGAAACCACAGCAGATTATGAGCTTGCAGAGATGGAGTCTGAGCTTCCAGGGGTTCTGCAGGGTTTGGCACCTGAGATGGAACAATTCGCTTCCGTTCCTGAGTGCGCGCACACACACACACACACACACACACACCACATATTTTTTAATATACTTTACATTCAGTTTAATATAATCTCCCCAGTTTATTCCTGTAAAGCATTTTAAACAATGAGTAGATGAGGTAATCTGGATAAAAATAGGCATAGAGCAGCAGTGGCTTCCAAGGTAACAGGCTAACATAGAATGCCAGGTATCTATAAACCAACAAGTTGTTTTGCACACTTGCTCCCCCACACACCCATTGTGCTTCTGCCATATCGTATGTGTCATAGGCAATACAATGGCACTCAAAGACTGCGTGATCAATCTAGAATTTGGAGAAGCCTGGTTCATCTGTTTGATTTCCATACAGCAGTACATAGCCTTGCATAAGCATAACCCAGAGTCTAGACCTTTTTTCAAGAAGAATAGACAAAATTGCAAAAACATACAGCGACAGGTTCACATGCGTAATCACAGCTAAACAAAGTATTCCTATTAATAATATGTAAATATTAATAATTTCAGGTGATTGTTTGTACTTTTTTTCTTTGCTTAGACATTATGGACTATTTTGCACACATTTGTGATATAACATTCCAATTAAATCCATTTCAATGCTAGAGGAAAATGAAAAGATCAAGGGGGTGAATACTTATGCAAGGCACTGTATAAAAGATATGTAAGTAATATATGAGCCTTATAAGTCCTTATAAGTATATATAA